AAAAAGAAACATTCTAGGTTTATAAAAAAATTCCACTTGGGTTGCCAGTAGGGCGTTAATTCGAGGGAGGTGGACATATTGGGGATGCTGGCACAGAGACTAAAGTGCATAAAGAGTCAATGCTTTGTGGTCAGCCACAATAAAATAAGAATGAGGTATGATTTCATGACAACTTGAAAAGTTGTCTTAAAATACTATCCACATACCCTGATGTCTATTATTGTAGATGGCAACACAGCAAATGTTGAACAAGTGGAAACACAGACACATACTCTCACACCACTTTTCCCACAAGATGATAGGCAAAGAGAAAACTCTTCAAGAGTTTGGGGAGAAAGTCCTTTATCCAATTAGTCAAACAACTATCTTCTATCTGCACTTTTATTTTATACCCCCTTTACACCTGTTTAATTAATCCTAAACACGATGCTGACTGCTAATTAAACAGCCCTGAAAGTGACTGACTGAAGGTAGTAATTTGAGATAATTAGTTTTGGGTTCAAACACTCAATTTTCACACATTGTGCTCCTTTTTAGAAGGGGGTGGCTCATTATTATAGGCAGCGTGGGGGCTGTGTAAGGCATTTTACTAATGGACTCTGAGTAGCTCCTTGGCTACTGGACTCTGACTAATCCTCTGTGAAAGGTAATTCAAGGAAGGTTAACAAAAGAACGATTCTTAAGGTGTGGGCACAGCGAAAGGAACCACGCCAGGGTGAGGAAGCACTCAGGTACCAGCAGCAGTGGCAGGACCTGAAGGCACAGGGTAGAGAGTGGTCCCCGGAACCTGGCAAGAGCTTTAGCTGTGGATGAGGGTTTAGGTAGAGAAACACCAGGTTGGTGGGGAAGGAGATGGGGAAATCAGTGCTCTGACTCCTGTGGGACTCACTGAAAGCCTGAGGCAAGGGACCCAGGTGCTACAGTCCTAGAGCACTCCTAGGACATGCAGCAAGCAGGGCAGAAAAGGCATGGCAAGGAAAGATGCCATATCATTTGCTATAGAATGCTCCCCTATGCACTCGTGCACACACACACACACACACACACATGCCACATTCATCTTCACAGAATTCCTCCCAAAGTGAAGGTCAAGCTGCTGAATACGTTTCATTGGAACACAGAAGTGCACATGCTCTTTATCTTTGGGAAAGTTTTACCTCGTGAGGGGTAGCTCTCACTGAGTCATCTATTGTCTACTTCCAAGGTCCTCTAGAAGCAAGCAAAAAAAGGCGAAAAAGGCCAAGATTTGGTGTGTGGTTAGACATGTGGAGGTGTGTCCTTGCTGAGTAGTCATGTATTACAAAGGCACAAAGACTAATCAAGGGAATAGCCTGCGGAGAGGTGGCCAATGTATCTGGCAGAGAAAGCAAAGGAGGCAGGTCAGACTGGTTTTTTTGTGGACCCACAGTGTTAACAACAAGTTAACTTGGTCCCACTAGGACATTAGGACCAGGAAGATTGGGGTTACATAGGCTAACTCATTGTTATAGTCAATATAGAGAGATACAGGCTGTACAGGAGCTGGATGGACCCTGCAGCACCCTGGAGCGCTCCAAGCACATTCTTTTACTTCTGCTTCCTTTGTAACTCGGGCTTTTTTTTTTAATCTTGAGAAGTTCAGTGTCACTTCACTGGCCACCATTATGGAGCAGGACTCGCTACATCAAAGGAACCCAGATGTTGAGAGCTTTACACAGATGTGAAGAGAAGAATCAAAACCTTATATGGATTGGGAATCATTGGCCGGGGGTGGTGGATGAGGGTTGGATCCCAGAGTGTGCAGGCCTGTATGGGAAAATGGAACTGCAGGCTCTCTGACATCAGGGCACTGATATTGGCTGCGGGATCTGGTGGAGAGCAAAGTTAATTGTTTTATGTATGAGCCAAACTTGCATCTTCAGTTAAGCACCCTGAGTTAGGGCACCTTGTAGTCATTTTGGCCTCTGAACTTTCATACCTCAGCATGGTGGCAGAGCGGTGATGAGATACACAGTTGCACAGCTCACCCTCCCAAATTTCCTCTCTCCTTTTACTTTTTATAGTTTTCTTGGGTGAGCACACACTTTACTGCCTCCACTGTGTTCCCACCTATCTTCACCTTCAGTCCCAAAGACACTCTTAAACTCCAGATCCCCCAATATTATTGCCCACTATTTAGAGGTTTTCATTCATCTTACAAGAATCTCAGAAGAGGCAAATCAAAAGTTAAACTTATTTTGTTTGTCTGACAAAAATCCTTTTTTAAAAATATCTATCTTGGTAAACAGAAAATATCAGGGATCTTAGTGGCCAAAGTCATACAACTGAGAGTCATTCCACATTTATCCTCCTCACCTGCACCTTTCCTTGCCTTTCAGATACATATAGGTTCTACACCTTTCCTTCCCCCCCTTCATCACCCAGCTTCTATCCAGCTTTGCAGTTTTATTTCAACAGTCCTGCCCTCGTGCCCTACTTTCCTGCCATCTGAAAAGCTGCAGTCCCTGGGTCTGCCATGCCTTAGCCCACTCTGTGCCTTTGGAGATGCTGTTCCCGTGGCTGTGATGTCCTGTCCCGCCTTGTTGGCCAGATTCCCTTCATCTCCTGTACCCCGTCCGAACTTCATGTGCTTCCTTGTACTTCTTTAGCAACATGTTTTCTTCTGTGAGACTGAGAGTCCTCACTTGGATATATGAATGGATGTTACATTTTAAAAGTTTTTTTAGGGGGAGATTTGTGGCATGTAGTTATTTGTTACTCGGTTTGAATATAGTGAGGAGAAATGACCTAGGATTTCTAGTTTTGAAAATCTTCTAGCAGTTCACCCCCTTTATATTAGGAAGTCTGTTTTCTTTTTTTTTTAATTTTATTTTTTATTACAAAGGGTATTACATATGTGTCCATTTCCCCCCACCCCCACCACGCCCTAGACAGTCCCCTAGCCTCCCCTATACCCCAGTGTCTTATGTCCATTGGTTATGCTTATATGCATGCATACAAGTCCTTTGGTTGATCTCTTACCCCCCTACCTCCCGCCCCCGAAAC